GACAGCACGCCCTGAAAGAAATCAATTTTTCCCTAAAATATATTTCTTTGACACACTTCGAAATGGCCCTGCAAAGTTGTCTCTTGTAGGGAAAAGCTACATTCTGTAGAAAATCCCTTTCCTTTCTGGGCCTTTTCCCTAATCCAGCAGAGAATTAACTAAATCTGATACCTTTTTAGTCTGATAAAAACCATTTATAATGTACTCTCTCTGAAACCCTGTACTCTCTCTGAGACCAGCTAACTGGAAGCTTCATCTGTATAACAAGAACCTTGGTCTCCACAATTTATCGTAACCTAGACAATCCCTTCCTTGGATTCCAGGTCTTCAGATAAACTCTTTCAACCAATTACCAATCGTAAAATATTTGAATCCACCTATGACCTGGAAGCCCTCCCACCCAAGACGTCCCGCCTTTCCTGACTAGACCAATGTACATCTAACATGTACTGACTGATGTCTCCTGTCTCCCTAAAACATATAAAACTAAGTTGCAGCCTGACTTCCTTGGGGACATGTGACCTGCTAAGAATGCCTCACAGGCAGTCCTTAACCTTGGCAAAACAAACTTCTAAACTTACTGAGACTTGCCTCAGATACTTTCCGGTTTACATATCCAGGCACTGCTCCCTTCCACACCCCTGCCAACTCTTCCGACCCACGACTCCACAACCTCCCTGACCCTGAGCCACCTGCTCTCCACTCCCCTCAGCGGCTGACTGCTTCCGTCCAATCCAACAGCCCCCACTTCCACATCTGAACGCACTCACTGCTTCCCAGCAAAACTGCCTTTGCAAAAATTAGATCAGTGAGAAAATCATGGCAATGGGGAAGATTTGATCCAGCCAATCCCCTCATGCCTTTAGTCTTCAAGCTGCCACGTTACCTTTGGGAGACATTCACTTTGTAGTTTAAATGGTAAGAGCCCTTCCCCAAAACTCAACTGCCTTTGTAAAGCTCATGAGAGGCCACCAGGCTAGGAAGAGGAGGAGCCTGAATTCCGCTAAGGTGTAACATAAACAATTGCCGCCATTATTCCTGGGGTCATAAGGCATGCCAGTTCCCCAGGTACTCCTGCAGGCCACATCACTGTTGCAGAACCTGAGACTGGCCTTTAGAGATATGTTTCAGATTGTTTACATGTCTGACACGTACACTAGCATCCACCAGGCTCCACCGACCCAAGAAGGCTCCACCTGGACCCGCGCACTGCTCTTGGAGCCCCACCCAAAAGCGATTCAGCACACAGGATCATTTTCGACCCCCTATGATTGATTGCACACCCCTAACCAATCAGCAGCCACCCCTGCCCTTTCCCCCCGATTGCCTCTAAAAAACTCTGGCCCCCAAATTCTCAAGGAGACTGATTTGAGTATTAATAAGACTCCAGTCTCCCTTTCAAACATCTCTGTGTGAATTAAACTCCACACTGCAATTCCCCAGTCTTGACAAATGGGCTCTATCAGGGCAGCCCGCAAAAAGAACCCATTGGGGCCGGGTGCGGTGGCTCACGCCTGTAACCCCAGCACTTTGGGAGGCTGAGGCGGGTGATCACCAATCAGGAGTTTGAGACCAGCCGGGCCAACACGGTAAAACCCCCTCTACCAAAAATACAAAGTTAGCCGGTCGCGGTGGCGCGCGCCTGCAATCCCAGCAATTCCGGAGGCAGAGGCTGCAGTGAGCCGAGATCGCGCCACAGCACTCCAGCCTGGGCGACAGAGCGCGACTCCATCTCAAAAAAAAAAGTACAAAAAGGAACCCACTGGGCTGTCACAGCAGGAACGAGAACTCTGGCTTCCCTGGTCCCTGGATGAAGGCCCCTCACCCTCAAACAGTCCTGCGAGAGGTACCGTTATCAACCCCAAGCAAGTATCAGGTACTCACAGGCAGGGGCACCTGACACCCAAGCCCGCACTCGCCACCGGCCCCCCAGCCGCCCGACTCCTAAATCAGAGCGCTGTCACTCCGAACCCAGGAAGGCCGCACCTCGCAGAAGCTCCTCCTATCGAAGGGCCCACAGAGATGAGTTTACTGCATCACAAAACCCTGTGTCACTAACCCCGACACCCTAAGGACTTGCTTGGAAATAACCGTTACGGACGGCTGCAAAGCGGGTCTGAACCCGGAGAAGTGAGGCTCAGGGAAGGACGCACACACGCACACCC